ACGCCATTGCCTGGGACTTCGACTTTCCTACGGCAGCCGAAGCAACCATCTGGCACGTCTGCACCATCCTCACCATCACTCTGCCGCCGCTGGGCCTGTTAGGCATCCCGCTGTCCCAGTCCACCTGGCGCCAGGGTAATCCGTGGGACTTTCTATCCGCTACCATACGCGTTCTGCGTGAGCTCTGCTGGCAGCTCGAAAGTCCCCAAGAAAAGATGGAGGCTAATCTCATCCGCGGGCGCTTGGATGACTTCTACAACATAAACTTGTTCCAACGTTATCGGGCTTATACTTCCACTCAGATCCCCTATAGGAACCTGCTTCGATCACTGGACGAAGCTTCCACCCTTGAGTGCGATCTGCGGCAAAGGATACTCGATTTTGTTGACAAGAAGGGAACCTTCCAAAACCGACCCGATCTCGACCTACCGCCTGGATACAGCTCCAACCTCCATCGGCTTTTCCGTCTCATAGACGGTCACGGATCGAAAAAAATGGTTGAGGAGGTGGCGAGGCTCGGCGTTTTCCCCCGTCGCAGCCTACTGCCTACTGCCTTCAACACGTGGCTTGTCTACATCACCATGGGCTTGTACTGCGTTGCTCGGCTCGTCCTAGTTGCTGTGGGCCTATCGAGTCTGCGTGCTATGCCTCAGGCGGTCTACAAGTCGACTTGGGCTGACTATTTCCCCGCCATTTGATCACAGTTTCCAGTCAGGGGGATTTTGGATGTGCAGTTAATAGTTAATGGACTTGGGTTCGATGTCCCCCTTTGTACATGCGTCTAAATATCTTGAGTTTTGACATTACGGAAGCTCTCATCTGATCAAGTCACGTAGATGAGGTCTCAGCCTCATCCCCCCTTGGCATATGTACATATGTCTGCGTAACAAAGTATGGTATCATGACATCGTAACATGACATCTGCAACCACGACGGTGCATCATGTGAACCACGTGCTTACGTGATTTCTACCTCCAGGTAAACAGAGTGCCTTATACCTCGATTTCTTCTTAGAGGGCCGTCCAAAGAACCACAGCGTGGAGAGACTTACCAAGGGTGAGCTACGGCACGAGAGCTTGAACTCGGCATGTACGTGAGTGATTCATTCGAAACGACCCCGCCAACTTAAATACAGCCTAACCAGGAGGCTTTTTCGCTAGGAGCGACCCTACTTCACACTCACAGAAAAACAAACCAGTGAACAGGCCACAACCTATGCTGTTCAACTTAGGCCCAAAGAAACACCGCTCTTCTACACGACAACACCCTAGACCGAAGCTCATCCATACGCCGATTCACCGTTGCAAAAAAATACACCCCTATCATGCGCCTTCCCACCCACAACTCGAAATAGAAACAAGAAAGCCGAAAGCTCCACCCATTCCCCTCCCCAAAGCTCAAGTGAGAGGCCACTGAGCCGACTAGGGCACTGTCAGATCACCATTTCCACCACGCGGGGCGCTAGCAAGCAAGAAGGGCGAGGTTGCGGCGCGTCAGTGGCATCCGCGTGTCGCCACTATCACCAGCGGCGGCACCAGCAGTAGCAGCAACTGCACCACTCATGTGCACACATCTTCATCTTCACCCCCATACCCGTCCTTTCCCTTCTAAATATCTTCCACACACAACGAAGTTCCAAAGAGGCATACGCCGTAACATACGACCTCGAAGACGATGACAAGTCCGCGTCGCTGGACCAGGCATCTTCATGCAACGAGCTGGGCAGCGTTTCCTCGCCCGGACTCCCCCCACCCACAAACCCAGAGTCGGATAATACCGTTGACGGTGGACCTGAAGCCATGAATATCGGGCAATCAGGGGATATCTCCATCCATGACGACGAGCCTGAAGGCACGGCCGTTACTTAGCTCGACCACCCCTCAACCTCCGTCCCCAACGAGCCCAAGCACTTCAATACGGCCGGCGGCCTGGCAGCGCAAAGTAGGTCCGTCCGTCCATAGCTAGATCCAGATTCCGATCCCGCATCACCGACGATCGCCGACGCGACCGAATAGGCAGTCAACAACAGGCGCACTACTGCTCCTCCAACTCCATCTCCTCAGCCACCGCGCCATTCTCGCCGCCACCTCCACCGTTATTATCATCATTCTCCTCATCCTCGCCGTCGGCAGTCAGCCCCAAGATGCGAGCATACTGGACGGTGAGCCGCTGGAGGTCGCGGAATTTGCCTGCATCAACAGAGTCAGCAACCCAATTCAGTGAATGAGTGAGTGTAATAGTCAGGGCCTCTGAGAGCCAGAGCCATACATGCACGGCAAAAAGGGAGAGGGATAGCACTTACCCAGAATAAGAACAACCCCCTTCAACAACTCCCGTCTCTCCCACCCACCCAGCATCTCCCCTTTCCCAAACCACCCCTTCGCCTCCCCACTCCCACCACCACCATTGGTAGGAGCCCCCTTCTGCTGCAACAACCCCCCCACCAAGCAATTCAACAACTCCTCCACCTTACCCCTCAACCCCTCCGCCCCGATGCGCTTCGCATACATAAACAGGTAGAGACGAAACTCCTCGCGGGCGCCGAGGGCCAGGGCGCCGGCGATGCGGTTCTCGAGGTGAGCGACGCTGACGGTGCTCTCGAAGCCCTCGAAGCCGTCCTTGGAGAGCAGGGTCTTGATGAGGCGCTGTAGGGTGAAGGCGCGGCCCTTGAGCAGGAACTCGCTGGTGGTGTGGCGCTCGAGGTGCGGGATGATGCCCGCCGAAACGCCGACCTCGGCGGTTGCGGCGGTGTCTGGCTTGTCCGGGGTTGTGGTTGTGGTTGTGGAGGATGCGGTGCCGTTTATGTTCTTGGCCGTCACGGGCCCCACGGCCGTCGTCGACAGCGCGCTGATGGACGAGTCGTTACTGTTCCAGTATTGGCTGCCCAGCGCCCACCAGGATTCTGAGAGGCGCTGCCACGCGTACATGGTGGAGGAGTAATAGAAACCGTCCCCGTTGCTGAGGGTGACGACGACAGCGCCGACGCTGTTGAGGTGTGCGGATGTGACCCCGGGAGCGGGTGTCGGGCCCTCGAGGGAGAGGGAGGTGATGGCGATGTCGAGGATGGGCGCTAAGGAAACAGGCGGGTGGGCAGCGGACATGGTTTTGATGTTGAAGACGTGGCAGAGACCAACTGAGGTAATGCACAGGAGCCAATGCTCACGGGATTCCAGGATAACGGGCTGGGACTCGAGGATGATGCCATTGAGGAGGCGGCGGCCGGCAGGGGTCCAGGTGTGCACGGAGCCATCTTCGCAAGCGGCGGCCCAGAAGTGTTTGTTACCGGTTACGAGAATGATGGCGCGTGGGAGGTAGTCTTGCCACAGGCGGGCGCCTCGTTTGGAGGCCGAGATGTGGGCGGGCTCGCGGAGTCTGATGGGGTTTTTGGCCTCGAGGACGATATTCTCTGGCACTTTGGACGCTTCGTCGAGGGTCGATTCTCCTTGGAGAACGCCCTTCTCCAGGGGCCTCACAATGTGTGATCGCACCTTGGGCACGGCCAGTCTGGTTTGGGAGAAGGAGATGGCCGGACTTATGACGGCAGGCCGGAGGTACTCCGGAGTCGGTACAACGCCTTGAGCAGGGGCGCTCAAGGGAGCGGGTTCTAACCCTTCAGGGGTGTCAATTAGAATCGGCACGGGTCCAGCTGAAGGCCGCCTGCCCGCGAGCTCGTCCTCCTCCTCTCCCTCCATGGCAGCGGCCTTCCGCTTGTTGCCTAAAAGCATGGCGGCTATGCCGCCTCTCGGCAGGCCGTGGGATGGTTTGGACAGGTCTAGTATGGTTTGCGGTGTATCGCTCTGGGTTGTTTTGGTCGACTTCGCGCCGACAAGTTGTGATTGAGGCAATGACAAAAGGCCGGTGGCAGATGACGAGACCAGTAATGGCGCCACCCTCTTCTTGCCGTCCTTGGTGACCTGTACTCGCGACTTCAGTTCCGCTATCCTTTCGGCCGTCTTCTCTACATTTTCCTCGGCCGGCGCTGCCTTTGGGGCCTCCTTCTCTTTTGGCTCTGTCGTGCCATTCGCCTCACCATTCTTGGCCGTTGGCCTTGAGCCGTTCGTTGTGACTGGCTTGCCCTTGTCCTCGGGTTGAAAATCTCCCATCAGCGCACCCATCCTTGACTCAGCTCCGCGCAGCTCGCCCTCTTTGCTGTGATTCTCAAGGTGTAAACCGTCGACATCTTCAGCGGTTCCCATCCCTTTTCTCGACCCGCCGTACTTTTGCAATGCCTTATCGTTCTCCTCGGCGGTTGCCACCCAACCCAACTCGCCCATCTCAAACTTGACGGCGAGAATGGTGCCGTCTAAGCTCGAGGCGAACAACGTCTGACCATCGGGGGTCCAAGCGAGGTCGGACATGGACTTGGATGCCACATCCTGCAGAATAACCACGGGCCGCGAGGTGTTTGTGTTCCATATGCTCAATGTCTTGTCCTGCCCTGCGGATGCTATGACGGTTACCAGGCCGGGCGAGCCTTTATCGGTCGCGTTGTCGCTGGGTTTCTGTGTATGGAATAGGCGGGGGGAAAACATGCAAACTTCGGTGGGCCCCTCGTGGCCGATCAGGTTGATCTCACTGTCCCATCTCGAGCGCTCAATGATGGCAACACTGCTCACCGGCCCGTTGACTGCATTGGCCGCGGCGATGTGGTTCCCGTCTGGCGACCAGCTGCATCTCCTGAAGTATGTCGTAAGCGGCGAGCTCTTGAACGGCGCGCTGATGGTTGTCTCGAGGACGAAGTTGTTGACCATGTCATGCTGGGTTGCGTTCGGCGGGGGCGGGGTGAAGCGGAAGATCTTGATGTGTCGGTCGTCGCCCGCCGTCGCGAAGAACTTGTTGGCGGGGTCGAATGTGATACCCTTAACATGGCTCTGATGCACGGCGATGGTCTTCAGTTTCTCGAAAGTGTGTCCCGACCATACCACCACCTTGGAATCTAGCCCGACGGAAACGAGGATCGAGTTGTCGTATGACCAGGCGAGGTCCTGGACATCGCTGTCGTGGCCGACGAGGCGCTTATGTGTTTTCCAATTTTCAACAGGCGGGGGTTCGTTCGTGCCTGTATCTTCCAGTCAGCCTCCGGACCCAACTCGACGTCTCTTATTCCTGCGGGCCATACCAAAGGTTGCTGTATGCGAAGGTGGGTTGCTATCGAGTTGGTAAATGCAGATGACCCTGTCGTCGGCGCCAGAAGCGAGGTAACGGCCATTCGGGGAGAATCGGACGGAATGGATGGTGCCCAAGTGGTGGCTCATGTGGCAAAGCTGTCGTGGTTTGCCGTGATCCGGATGGTCGGCGTTGAAGATGGCTTTGGTCGACCAGACACGGACATGGCCGTCTATCGCAAGTGAGCATGGATGTCCAAGAGAGAGCTGCGTAGTCGTGTCAACGTACCTCCGCCGGCGGTGGCGAGTCGCGAACCATCGGGGGAAATGTGGCAGCTGTAGACCTCGAAATCCTTTTGCTCCCCTGCACAACTCGTCATCAGCCAAAGGTCCGGTCCTACAGGCAAGAATGTCGCAGTGTTGCGGAAGGTGTATGTTTGGGTACTCACCACTATGTCGCAACCATGAAGGTTTGATAATATGCATGATGTGTGGGGGGCGTCAATAGACGCGATATGTTCATGTCGATGCTGTTTGTTGGAGTTTTGAGAAGGAGCTTGGAGCTCTTCAAACAATTGAGATTCGCGACCATTCACGTCTGTTGCGCGGCAGACAAGGGAGTTGCATGCGCGACGTTCCAGGCTTGGCTTGGGCCCTGTTGTCCGCGCTGATTGGTGCAGGCCAGGATAGACTTGACTCGGCTTGCCTGCCGGAGTCAACCACTCAAGCGGGGCTGATGCTTCTTTACGACCTGCTCTTCAAGGGAGAGGAGGGAGTAGTTATCAAGTTCCCAGTCGTGGGATATCCGGAAAATTTCTATTTGATAAATACTGATATTTGTATCACCCAGATCACCTTTTCCAATCTGTACTCTATCTACAACCTCAATGAAGAGTGGGCGCAACGAACTGGGTGTTAGTTTTATCCGGTCTTCCATCATGTCGCCCATATCTTCATCGAGTGGGAACGAGCGTCGGGATGGACAACTTAAAGCATTCCTCTACGCTCGGAACAAGCCAATAGATACAGACAACACCTTGTTACTTCATACATCCCTTCCCTGCACCACGCTAAGAGAACAACCCTGACAAAATGCTCTGCCAACTGAAGCAGGACCCAAACCAGAGAAACGAGACGTGATTAACCAAGAAAAGAGAGCAAGGGCAAGTAGAGCACCGTAGCTTGCTCGATAGAGACGATTGAACAGACGAGAAAACAGAAGACGACAGCATGCGATAATTCGGCGGCAGCCCCTCTCTACTTCTTAGCTGTTGTCTTGGGCTTGACCTCCTAATTCAACAATTGGTCAGCGGTATGCTCTCACGATGAAGGGACTCAGGGGGGGATTGCAGATGTATGATTGGAGACGTCAAGATCACCAAGCCCATGCATATGGGGATGTACCTTGTCAGCCTTTTCAACCTTCTCGGCCTTCTCCTCCGTCTTCTTCTCAGTCGCGGTCGCCTTCTTCGCCGTCTTCTTCACGGCGGCCTTGACCTATAGTAGCGTTTGTCAGTACCCGGGTTGAGTATCTGCGCTGAAGACCGTAGGCCTGCAGCAACCGGGTCGGTGTGGTTGCGTGAGTGAAAGGGTATGCCTACCTTAGCGACCGCGCCGTCCTTCTTGGGGACCCTCTTCTTGGTCACGCCAGTGGGTTTGGCGCCCTTGGCCTCCCTCTTGGGGACAGCCTTCTTCTTGGTTGCGGGCTTGCGCGTGATAGTGGGCGCGGTGTCGATGACCGGGATGACGCGCGGCTTGGAGTTGCCCGTCGCCGACCGCGTTTCGCGAGCCATAACAGCGCTTTTACTTGGAACTAGTACTCTGCCCAAATGGATAAGCATAGGTCAACCACAAAAAGGGCAAGCAGAGCGCGAGAGTGGTGGTGAGCATGGGGCGCGACAGGCGGAGGTCCAACGCGCAATGTGTCGCTTCTGTCGCGCGCTGTCGCACAGCGCGAGAAAAGCCAAGCTCCGTCGCAGGACGGAAAGTTCGACTCACAGTGGAAAAGAAGGTTTGGGCAACAAGAAGTCGCAAGATTAGGTCGGAGAAGAAAATGATTTCGTACTCGAGAATATCTGTTTGAACGGAAAGTATGCGGATAATGGGATAAGAAGGGTGTTTTGCAGAGCCGAAATGTCGAATGCCGGAAGGAAAACAAAAGGTGGGCGGCACAAAAACACGGGGTTGCCAGTGGTGTGCAAGCAGCAACACCGGCACCACCCACCATCAGCACCCGCGACCTCGTTTCCCCAAACCCCCAGTCAAAAACCCCTCGGAATTCCAACCGTTCGGCCGCTGAATTTTCCGTTTGCTTCAAGGGCCTCGCGGCTTTGTTTGCTGTTGATTTGAGGTATTCCCGTCGCTTCCCTCCATGGTCCCCATAACCCTCCTCCACTGGCCCGCTTTCCTTGAAGCTCAAGCTCGAGGCCCGGAGCTACCTAGGTTGAGCTTGGAATGACCTCTTGCCGCGCGCCTCCCTGCAGCCTTTTGGTAGAGCATCGCCATGACACGTGGCTGACGCTGTTACTCATTGGAGCCCGACTCCCCATTGTTGTAACCGTTCTTTTGATGCCATCATCTGTTTCAAGATCGAGGGCTTAGCGCGGTCCGTCCAACCCGGTGCCAAGGTGTCGAAGAGCGACCCATTTCATCCGCACGTAATGCGCATTCTGCTCCCAAGAACTGCCGAAAATATGACGGAGAAAGGGGTCGCGGCGAACGTGGGTGAGTTGGCGGGCAAATAATGAAGTCCAACTCGATCCACCCGCTGACTGTCAAGTTGAAGTTGCGAAGAGGTTCAAGCGCGGTCCAAATAGGAGAAATGTGTGGGACGGGACCCACCCGGGAGCACAAAGCCACAAACGGCATGCTGAAGAAATACCCCGCATTCGTGGGGTCGGGTCCGCTGAAGCTATTCGGAACCCGAATGCAGCAAGAGTTTGCCATCGAGGATCGATTATGTGCACTCGGAACGAGATATCGCCTTTTACTTCTCCTACATATCTTCCTAGGACATTATGAGAAGGGCCTAAATTTTTATTACGGGTTTATCTTCTTGATTGCACCAACAACAGCCTTCCCATTAGGTATCACATCTTAGTGACACCTTTGCGCGCGACCGGGCATTGGCAAGGCGACTGACATCAGTCATAGGTAGGTAGCCTTGGGCACGGCTGTAAGGAACGCCTACTCAGCCAACAGTGGCTGCACTTCTATCGTGCATTGATTGTAGCACCCGACGGCTTGACAGCGTAACAAATCTTCACAAGCTTGGCAGTCACGCAGCTTCCCGAGAAAGGGAATGTGGGGTGTGCCATGTTGTCTGCCAAGCCCACCGAGACGAGCCGAAGAAAAGCGGGTATTCATCCTTCACAGGGGCTAGCACCAGCGGGGATGCTCTCTCGGGTTTAAGGCCAGAGGTTTGCTCCTTCTGGAATCTTTCGCTGGACACCTGCAATTCTCCCTTTTTCTCATTCTTCCGTACTGAGTCGCCGCAAGCTTTCAAAGAAGCATTCCCAACCCGTAAATGTCGGAATGGGCGCTAAATCTCCAGAGAACGATGAGCGTCGGCAGCATGGGCATGGTACGTGATCGCATTTCTAAAGTAGATGAAGTATTTTTGAATGCACGTGCTCATTTTTGCCAGGTGACGCCCCCAGTCTGGATGACTCGAACCCTATGTCGGGAGGAGAATCGCGTAGCCCGGACATGTCGAGAGCCGGAGACGGCTGCCTCGGAGATGGTGGTGACGATGAAGAGAGCGACGGTGACGGCGGTGAAGTAAACCCAGCATCCGCCGACGCTGAATCCACTCAAAAGAAGCGCAAGAAGCGCAACAAGAAGAAGTCCAAGAAGAAGAGCAAGGCCGACTCTCCTGGCGAGCAATCCTCCCCCCCGAGGATCCCGTTGGACAAGCTGTTCCCCTCCGGCAACTTCCCTGAGGGCGAAGTGCTGGAATACCAGGCCACGGCACGCACCACAGCCGCCGAGCGTCGCTCGAACGCTCGGCAGCACTGGGAAGACGACACCTTCCTCCGAAACTACCGCAAAGCCGCCGAGATCCACCGCCAGACCCGGCGATGGGTGCACGAGACAGCCAAACCCGGCGTGTCCCTTTACGACATTGCCGTCGGTATCGAGGATAGTGTCCGGGCGCTGCTAGATAATGCCGGCTTAGAAACCGGAGAGGCCCTCAAGTCCGGCATGGGCTTCCCCACAGGCCTGTGCTTGAACAACCAGGTCGCACATTACACGCCCAACCCTGGTCAAAAGCCAGTCTTGCTACAAGAACAGGATGTCTTGACTGTCGACTTCGGGGTCCACATCAACGGCTGGATCGTCGACAGCGCTTTCACCACGGCGTTCGACCCGACCTACGACAATCTCTTGGCTGCGGTCAAGGATGCGACCAACACGGGTGTTAAGGTGACGAGTTCCCTTACATGGTGGCGGGGAGTTTGACAACTAACAATATTGCAGACGGCCGGTATTGACGTGCGTATCAGCGACGTCAGCGCTGCGATCCAAGAAGTGATGGAGAGCTACGAGGTTGAAATCCGCGGCAAGACGTACCGTGTCAAGCCCATCAGAAACTTATCAGGTCACAACATCCACCAGTACCGCATTCACGGTGGCAAGTCCATCCCGTTTGTGAAGAACCGCGACCAGACCAAGATGGAAGAGGGCGAGGTCTTTGCCATCGAGACCTTCGGGTCGACGGGGCGCGGCTACATAGTCGATGACGTGAGTCTCCAAAGAGCTGGACGATGCGAAATAAGGGGGAATGCTAACGCCCGAGTAGGTTGGCGTCTACGGTTACGGGCTCAACCACAATGCCCCGCTAAATGTGCCCGTGGCTCTGCCTTCTGCCAAGCGTCTGCATAAGACCATTAGAGAGAACTTTGGCACGATCGTGTTCTGCCGCCGTTATCTCGAGCGCCTCAACGTCGAGAAGTACCTGGCTGGCGTGAGTCCGACTTGTTCCCGATGGATGTTGGGTGAACACCCGTGCTAACGAATTGCGCAGATGAACTGCTTGGTCCAACAAGGCGTCGTGGAAGAGTATGGGCCGCTGATGGACGTCAAGGGGTCGTACTCGGCCCAGTTTGAGCATGTGCGTTGTCTGAGGGTCCTGCTCCCAGTGATTAGTTGAAGCTAACATTCTTGCAGACTTTCCTCCTTCGTGGGACGCACAAGGAGGTTTTCAGTCGTGGAGACGACTACTAGAGGAATGAAGACTGACAAATTGGAGGGCGTTTGAGTTCTTTTTCCCATCCCTTGGTACTGGTTTTTTTTTTCCCTAACTCGGGGTTGTTTTCCCAGCACCGTCACGCAAATGCGAAGGGATTTTGTATAGCAGATTGAATTTGATCAATCTTTTCCTCTCGGCTAGTTGTTTGGCTTTTCCAAGGAGACAACCCGAGGCCTCTGCCGTTCTTCGGCCACTTCCAGCACAATGCTGCCTTTCTTTTGGTGAATAGTGGAATATTGTTGGGTATCAACACTGACCTAATGATGTATCAAAGCAGGGGATGCGGGTCAGTAGACGGGATGAGGGAGCGAGTCCAAAGCACACGTAGTCGTGAGAGTTGGGGTTGACGGGAAGAGGAGCTCCAAGCGTGAAGGGCATTGTTGGTGAGTCGTTCAGGGGGAAGGGCATTGTTGGTGAGTCGTTCAGGGGGAAGGGCATTGTTGGTGAGTCGTTCAGGGGGGAGGGAGGTATGGAAAAAGAGTAGGGCGAGAACCAGCGGGCAAGCGTGGGGGGTTACACGAGTTCCTCCTTTGAAGCTTGGTCATGATCGACATCGAGGTGTTCGTGCCTGACAGAGAACAAGTTCGCGGTGGGTGATGACCCGCGGCGCACAGCGGAGGCCACCTTCCCGAGACAGACAAGGCAGCGCTCTCATCCAAGACATGGGGATAGGATCATGATCTAGGCGCTCAGGTCGCCGACTTGCCCTTTAGGCATGCAACCCGGGGGAACAACCAACGAACCAGTAGCCCCGATCCCGACTCACTAATCGCTCCAGCTCGGCGATCTCGCTATGACAACATCATTACCCCCACTGACGATACATCCCCGCTTGCAGATGTCAAATTCCGATCAGCATCTCCAGATCTAGCACTCCCGGGTCGGATGGCTGCCGAACTAACCCCAACCAGTGGGTTTTGTCAGCTCCCACGAGGCTGCAAGACAGAAAAGAAACGGGAAAAGTCGATCATGGCTTAAAATGGATTAGACGTCGAGGTTGCTGCTTCACGTGGAGATCTACCGACAGGGCTACGATGTCACCACCATGCCAAGCATGTCGTGATATCAAGCTTCACGCCCGCCATTTTTCAGCTCCAAGCCTGAATTTTCGATCCCCCCCTATTATGTCACGGAGAATTCAGGCACCGTACAGGAGCAACATCATATCATTGGGCAATTGAATCTCCAGAAGTACTTCGTACATGGGATGGGGTGTTCCAGCTGACATGCAGTGCGGCTAGTGCATGCACATACATGCAGACATGTCATGCCCACCACCCACCCACTGCATCTCTCATCTCGGCGCTTCATCTGCCTTGGCGCGTTCCGGCCGCCAGGTTGCCAAGGTCACATATTGTGGGGTTACATGATCGATGAAGATGTGCCGGAACCAGGGCAATATTATGCATGTCAGTAAGTCCGTCAACACTCATGGATCTTGGGCACAACAAGATACCAACCGTGACTCGACCCCTAGAGTAACAAGTAGGTGGTCACACGCGTTAAGGTCTGCAGTCTTACCACTGTACACTAGAACCTATACTCAGTGTGGGGTGTGGTATTTTGGGCACACCAGCACTGAGTCTCTCCCCTCTCGGGTCGGGGACCGAACCCCATGCGATCACCATGATGTTTCCCCCATCCGACGTTTAGCGTCATCTACGCCACCGACTACTAGGCCTCTCTCCCTCCCCGGCCCACAACAACTCACCCGCGCCCATCACGCCGTCGCTGCAGGAAGAGAATGGGGGCACATCTTCCTAACTCGGTCGATCTTAGTCTTAGTCGATCGTTGCTTGTTCCGACACCCAACATCCGTCGCGGTCAAGATGGCGGGAAACCATCGAGTTGCGTGCTCTGTAATGGAAGTCGCATCAGAGCGAACCGAAGAAAAGGAGGTGAACTATGATGGCATCGCGGAAACGAGGATGAGGACTTGAAGATGTATAAGAGGGAGCCTCTCGGATGCTCTCTCAGCCCAGAAGTTTCTCCATCATCCTCGGATTCGACAGCATCTTCAGCCTTGTTCACTCCTTTGCTGACAACCGGTTAATCACTTAATCCCTTCACGATGAAGACCTCACCCATTATCCAGCTCATCCCCTACGCTGCCCTTGCGCAGTGCCTGTCCCTGCCTCCGCTGATTCCCAGCATCCCCGGAGTCACGGAGCCCCTGAACAACCTCGCTCCCCCGCTGCCCATTCTCCAGGTCCCCACGCCCGCGCTGGACAGCCCTCCTTTTACGGCCAGCGATATCAAGCCCAAGAAGATTGGGTATTTCTGGACGGGTGCTGGTGACAGGCAGCACAAGGGTACGTGATCTGGCGTTTGGGTCGTCTGATTCGACATGCTGACCCGCTCTACAGACTTCCTCGCGACCTACAGTCTGGATGATGTGGGAACTACTACCCCTTCTCTCGTTGACAAAATCTGACTAATTTAGGACACATTCGGTACTCTCCTATGGATCACGGATGTGCCCAGCAGCGGCAACGACCCTCACCATCTCGGTCCCTCGCTCGATGGCAAGACCTTGGTTGGAGGCGGCCTCCTGTCTCTGCTCAAAACCCAGGTGCGTCCCCATCAAGATGATTGCGATAGATCACCCGCTGACAAGAGCAGGACACGGCCTTCTACTTCGACACGACCAACCCCTATCGCCCCACGTTCAAGAAGAGCAACCGGGCTCTTCTCTCCTCGATCGCCGATGAGATCCGCGCGAAGCCCGATGGCGGTTTCTACATCACGTACATGGGCTCGGCTGTCGGCACCTCGCCCGGCCGCCTGGTTGAGACCGATGCCGACTTCAACATTATCCACGAATGGCCCCAGGATGTGGAGAGCACGCTGAACATTCTCGGCGAGCAGTTCAACCCCCACGGCCTGAGCATCGACTGGGAGAGGAAGAACATCCTCACCTCGGACTTCGTTGAGCCGGTGAGCATCCTGCACCCGAGTCTCGGCGTCAGGAAGGCGAACACTCTGCGCCTGTGGGACCTGGACACGAAGAAGATTCTCAACACCATCACCATCCCGGACGTAAGTGTTTTTTGAAGTAGCGAAGTCTTTCGATCAGGTCGTTAATGAACGTGCAGGGTGGCGGTATCCAAGATGTCAAGCACATCCCTGGCAACCCTGAGGGCGCTGCTCTCGCTACGGCCGTCCACCTGGGCCAGGTCTGGATCATCTACCCCGAGCGCAAGGACGCCCACGGCAAGCCCGGCGTTGCCGAGCTGCTCTTCGACCTCGGCCCCAAGGCCCGGGACACCGTCGCCATCTAGTGAGTTCCCACCTTGAATCCCTACCAAAACATCTGCTTGGGCCAAAGCCAACTAACCCCTCCGCAGCACCGACATCACCCAAGACGGCCGCTTCTTCTACCTCTCCCTGACCACCGCCAACCACATCGCGGCTCTCGACATCAGCGACCTGAACAACGTCAAGCGCCTGGACAACCCCGACGAAGGAGCAGCCGACCATCGGCCCCCACTACGTCAAGGTCACGCCCGACCAGAAGCACCTTGTGGTCACCGACTACTTTGTGCAGACGGGCAACCTGGGCCTCATTAACACGCCGGCCGACTTCAAGGCCCTGTACGTCGACATCCTCGACGACGGCAGCCTGAGCTTCAACCGCTCCATCGATTTCCAGCGCGAGTTCGCCAACCGCGGCGGTGCCAAGCCGCACTCGAGCGTCATTTTCGATCTGACTGATCCCGAGAACCCGCTCTACTACTAGATGCCTAGGGTCGTTGTTGTTTGTTGGCGGGTGGGAGGTTAATCTGCTGTTGTGTTTTCAGGGGGTGGACCAGAGGGGTGGCCTTCTTCTTTATCACCAGTCCTTGATGTGTTGTCTTGCTTTGCCATTTCAATTCTACCATCTTTAGGCAATAATAACATAATGTCTTGTACACCAGATTTGTTTTTATGAAGGATGCGAACTACGAAATGGTGTAAAGAGTAGTAGCCGTTCCATTTCCGAACGCGACGAACACGAGATGACTCATCTGCTAGCCGGTTTCACGCTTTCCCTCCACTGTGACTCAATTGGTAGTTGTGATTAACAGGGTGTGGTTTCTGAAGATAAAGACCCAACTCCTTCCCCTCTAGTTATGCGAATTCTAGCTAGAACTCAAACTCTCCAACCAAATCAAACCAAACCCCACCATACCCCCTTCGGCAGTAGTAAAGCCCCAGTCCCAGTCCCGGCACCAGACCCAAGCCCAACAACAACAAAGATGACACCCCCCTTCCCACCACGCACCTGGACGCGCGAAGTGTCCGGGACGAGCTACACCATCTCGACCGACCCCTCCCTCATCCAACTGGAAGCGGTCAACGCCGCCTTCGCCTCCGACATGGTGTACTGGGCCAAGCCGCTCACGCCCGCCGCCTTGAAGCTCTGCGTCGAGCAGTCGCTCTGTTTCGGACTGTACGCCGCCCCGGCAGAGGATGGGAACTGCCAAGGTGATTCAACGCCCTCTTAACACCCTTCACTAACTCCGCCATCCTCTCCCGTTCCCCTACCACCTTTCCATTTCCCCTTCACCAACCACCCCCCAAACTAACCCCCCTCCCCAAAGGACAAAAAGCCACTTCACCCCCCATGACGGGCTTCGCCCGCCTAGTAACCGACTACACGACCTTCGGCTACCTGACCGACGTGTACGTGCTCCCCGCGCACCAAGGGCGCGGCTTGGGGAAGTGGCTGGTGCAGTGTGTGGACGAGGTGCTTGCCGGGTGGCCCGAGCTGCGGCGGTGCCTGCTGCTGACGCGCGACGCGACGGCGGTGAGGATGTACGAGACGAGGATGGGGGCGAGGGTGATTACGTCGGAGGGGGGTGAGGGTGGGGGGTTGTTTATTATGGAGAGGAAGGGGGGTGGAAATGTTTATAGGGAGTGAGTTGAGAGAGGGAGGGAGACAGGACGTGGGGCGGAGCTGGTCAAGGGGGGAAATGGTTGGTGTTTTATTTGGTTGAGGTTAATTATTTATTTGCCTGGTGGTTTTCCGTATGCCCCACCGTTGGCTCTCCTGATTTCAATGGCGCGTTTGTAGGGGGGCGCGGTGGGTGGCTGAACCGGGTCGAGCGAGACGTGGTCGTCTGGAAGTTTGTACGAAGCATCCGAGTCGAACGCGGAGAGGTCGCCGCATGCCACGAAGGGGGCAATCCAGCGGATGTCCTTGTCGTGCGGCTCGGTTGATAGGTCGTCAACCTCGACTTCCTCAATGCCATGCTCGTCCACCATCTGTGTCCGCTCAGGGGTCACGTTCCAGGCTCCGGTTTCGTGATTCTGCATCAAGACTGGTGCCGTGATTGGTGCCACTGCATTCTGTTCTGCTAGCATCTTGGGCAGTCGGTTGCCGACACCGAGAGGCTCCTCCAAGCTGGCCTTGAAGCCTTCGGGAGGCTGGAAGTTGATGCATACGATAAACGCCTCGACACTGCTCGCCCGCGATGAGCGGGGCTTGGCCACGTACACCTTCTCAAAGAAGATCTTGAGTTGTGCGTAGAGCAGATCCACGTTGCGGCCCCTGAAAATCTTGGCGACGAACTTGCCGCCGGGCTTCAGCACGCACAGGGCGAGGTTGAGGGCGGCAAAGAGCAACTGGGACTGCACGTAGATATCGAGGTCGTGCAAGCCCGTAACGTCGGGGGCACCATCACTGATGACGAGGTCCACAGGCTGTGAAGCCTGTTGATTCATCGTCTCCGGGTCGTAGTCGGGGTCCAAGGCCTTCAAAAGCAAGGGAACAGTAGCCGGGTGGGTGATGTCGGCGCGGAGGGTGATAATGCCGGGGAGTGGGCTGATAGGCTGGAGATCGATGGACACAATTTTCACGTCTTTCCGTGGCTTCAACTGCGCTTGGGGGACCTCATCCTTCGAGATCGGCTTTTCCTGATCAGGGGTTGTATCCGAGGGGACAACATTGAGCATGTGCTGGCGGAACTTGGCTTCCCTGTCCTGCCAGGCACAACGGCCGAACTTCTCGCCCTTGATAAGCACTCGAGAGAGTACCTGAGACCAACTCCCCGGAGCAGCGCAGAGGTCAACGACTCGGGTGACATCCTCAAACAGGTTGAACTCTGTTGGTGTCAGTCTCACGGGTGTGCAAGAGAGCAATGGACCATTGAGTTGAGGTTGACTCACCCTCGTCGAGCTGGAGCAGTTTGAAGGCACTCCTTGCGCGCCAGCCTTGCTCTTTTGCGAGCCTGTAATAGGCGTCGCGCTTGTCTTTGGAGGACTTTCCCATTTTGGATTTGGTGGGATATGGAGGAAAAAAAAAACAGAAGCAACCCCGCGATCTCTCGAATGCCGACAAAAGTCACAGTTCAGGGGTCACTGTCACTGTGTTGCCCAATTAAGAGAAAATAAAAAGGGCCTAAAACCCCCGCTTTACGCAGATCTGTGTGGTAAGAAGGGAATTTTGGAGAAAATGGTAGGTGCTGTGGGGGATGCTTGATGTGAATTAACCAGGCAGGTGAAAGACTCATTCCATTCATCGCAAAGGGACGGACATGAAATTGAAGCTTGGTGGAGGGGCATCTGCCGTAATTTACGGTAACGCTGTGAAGCGTAAGCCGTATTAGGAAGGCGGTCAAGATTTGGTCAGCGCTGGGTGCGCCAGTACGGGTAAAAGTGGGACTCAGCTTTCAGTGATTTGGTACCAACCATTTTCTTGCGATTTTTCATTTCAGATTCAACAAGCCACCCTCACTCACAGCTCACCAGGATATCTCACAACATGGCCATCGACAAGAAGAGGAAACGTTCCGAGGGACAGGGAAAGCGCCCCAAAGCACACAATGCCGGCTCCAAGCGTCAAAAGTCAAATGCCGGAAAGCGCGTGACGAGCGTTGATTCGCTGGCATGGAAGACGGTCGAGCTGCCCGAAATGTATGATGATGCCGAGGGCTTCTACGGCCTGGAGGAGGTGGAGGGCGTTGAGATTGTGCGGGATGGCGACACTGTAAAGTTTGTAAGTGTTTGCGTTCTGCGCGTCTCTGATATCTTACACTCGCTCACTCACTTTAGATGGCTGCTGTTACTGCCGAGTCGGATGCCAGTGAAGAGTTTGGGGGGTTCGATGATGCGCCAGAAGAAGCCGATGGAGCTTTAGGGGAAAGCCCTACAGAGTCTACGGAGCAGACGGCACCCGTAACTCTAAACAAGGAGTCCAAAAAAAAGAAAAAGGGTTCCAAGGGTGAGGAGAAGACTGCGCCAAAACCCGACGCCAAGGATCAAAAGAAGGAGAAAGAGAAGAAAGAAAAGAAGGAAAAGAAGGGCGCCAAGGTCGAGCAGGCCAAGGAGGACACTGAACTTGAAGCCAACGTCTTCGCCCAGGCCGCTGACCTCGCCGAAGCCGAGGCTGAGGACAACGACATCGACATGTCCCAGTGGGTCCCGCTTGACCTTTCCCCCCAGATCCTGTCGTCTATCGCACGCCTCAAGTTCGCCAAACCGACCGCGATTCAAGCCAGAGCTATTCCCCAAATCATGAACGGCCATGATGTTGTTGGGAAAGCAGCAACAGGCTCTGGAAAAACGCTAGCTTTTGGGATTCCTATCGTGGAGAGCTGGTTGGCCAAGAGAGCCGAGAACCAGACTGCCGAGAAGAAGGGGCCGATCGCCATGATTCTTTCGCCGACTCGAGAACTCGCCCACCAAATCTGCGATCATCTCAAGTTGCTCTGCGCCGGGCTCACCACCGGCCCCTACATTTGTTCAGTGACCGGTGGCCTAGCGGTGCAGAAGCAGCAACGTCAGTTGGAGAGGGCCGACATCGTGGTCGGAACGCCAGGTAGAATGTGGGAGTTGATGAGTTCAAGCAACTCTGTGCTCGGGTCACTCAGGGGTATCGACTTTCTGGTTGTTGATGAGGCGGATCGGCTTCTCAAAGACGGCCACTTCAAGGACGCCGAAGAGATTCTGAAGGCGATAGACCGGACCGTGCCAGGGGAGGAAGCCGATGGCGATTCCGACGACGAGGCGCCGCGGCATCACCGCCAAACACTCGTTTTCTCGGCCACTTTCAACAAGAACCTGCAGCAAAAGCTGGCCGGGAAAGCTCGTTTTAACCTTACCAGCGACACCGAATCGCTAGAGTATCTCCTGAAGAAGCTCAATTTCCGAGAGGAGCGCCCCAAGTTTGTCGACACCAATCCCATTTCCCAGATGGCCGAGAATCTCAAAGAAGGCCTGATTCAATGCGGTGATCTCGAAAAGGACCTGTACCTCTACTCAGTCCTCCTCCTACAGCCCACCCGCCGCGCGCTAGTCTTTACTAACTCGATCAACACTGTCCGCCGCCTCACCCCCTTCCTGCAGGCCCTAAATCTCCCCGCCTTTGCACTCCACTCGGACATGGAACAAAAAAGCCCGGGCTCCGCTCCATTCGAGCGGCTTCAAAGGCGGGCCTAACAACCACCACCCAAACCCCCTCATCATCCAACCTCCTCCACCACCTCCTCCTCCATCCCTCATAGCAACCGACGTCGCCGCGCGCGGGCTCGACATCCCCAACATCGACCTCGTCATCCACTACCACGTACCACGGTCCGCCGACGACTACGTGCACCGGTCGGGCCGCACGGCGCGCGCCAGCACGTCGGGCATCTCCATCCTGCTGTGCGGGCCCAAAGAGGCGGTACCGACACAGCGCCTGATCGCCAAGGTCCACGCCGCCGCCGCCGTCAACTCGTCGCGCGCGCAGCTCGCCAGCGCCGGCGTCGGCGTCCATACCATCGATATCGACCGCCGTCTGGTCTCGCACCTGCGTCCGCGCGTGGGGCTGGCGAAGAAGATTACCGAGACGGGGATTGCCAAGGAGAAGGGAGCGAAGGAGGATGATTGGATGAGGAATGCCGCGGAGGAGCTGGGGGTCGAGTTTAATGCCGAGGAGCTGGAGGCTGCGGGGTTGTGGAAGGGGAAGGGCAGTGGCAAGAAGTTGAGGGAGAAGGAGGCGCGCGCGGTGACCAAGGCTGAGGTTAAGCAGTGGCGCTGGGAGTTGAAGGAGCTGCTTGCGAAGAGGGTTAATACCGGCGTGAGTGAGAAGTATTTGGGGGGCGTGGATGTGGATGGACTGTTGCGGGGAGCGAGGGGGGAGTTTCTGGGGCAGGTTGAGGGACTGGGGTTGTAAGCTTGCGGTGGGTGTATACGGAGGCAAGTGGCAGGGTAGTGGCACAAATATCATTAGCATGCATTTACTCTATGCTGGGTATCTATCCCCTCCTCATTCCCGCCGGTAGCCCCTAGGCAAGTAAGCCAGACTGCCTACCGCACTCGCACAACCCCACCTCCACCGCCCCCCAAATCCTCATCA